TGCATATGCTGGTGCTATCCCATCTCATTGCGTTCTATTCGGTATAACTATCGTGAAATCTATTATGAAGTTTGTGAAGGTTATTCCTTAGTCCGTCCTATATGGTAGACTGAAGATATTAAGATATTAGTATGGTTTTGATTTATCAGTCTTTAAAGACAGTTTTAGATATGACATGCTCCATTTCCATCCAATCGGATTATCTGTATATTTGTTTTCTACGATCGATACGAAATTATCCGGCAGTTTGTTTTACAGGTTTGTACGAAACAAATTTTTCGAGAAGTGGACCAGGCACCGAACTGTTAAAAAAAAAATTCATATTTATAGTCCGATTTACTTCAAATTCAAATTAGATTAGCTGAAAGACTATTCTCTCACCATTTGCTCGTTGGTAGAATGGTATTCATTAAGGCTGACATAGGCTTCCTCGCAATCGATAGCAACAATAGTTCCTCTAGCAAATGGTGACGTAATGGGAAATCTAACCTTCGCAGGAAACATTGAACGGTTGACTGCTTCTTTCACGCGGTGAATACAATAGATGACTCACGACTGACCTATGGGTATTCCTTATTGCTCTCCTACGGGACGTTGGCATCCAGTTGGAAGGCTGCTAGAACCGGTTAGCATTTAAATATTGTGAAAACTGAAACAAATATTTAAAAGCCATATTACTACCTGTTTCTCCGTAGATAGATTTTAGTTGGCTATCAAGAAACTCAGTTGCATTCAAGTGGAAACGATCTTCGACTTCCCGAAGCCAACTTCTATCCAATGATGAAGGGAACAATACCTCCCCATCTTGGGATAAAACGTATTTTAATTGTTAAATAACTTAGCAATTTGTTTAACCTTAATCTCTTAACCCTAATGAAATAACAATATTTAGTCGATATCGATAACAATTCGAAAATGTTCGTCGCTTAGTTAGCGATTTGTCGAGTAGCTTATGACAACAGCGATAGCGAATATTGTTTAAATAAGTACACCGAATATTAAAATCGCTAGAATTATCGCTAAATCTTATTTGCGATCAGAAAATCGTTATAATACGATAGGGTATTTCCCTACAGGGATCTGGAGCAAAGTTCATTTTGCTCGAAATATCAATAACAACACTTTCTTTACAAGAAATAAATCACCGACCTATTTGAGAAATTGAAATTTATTTGGATTTAGTCTTGCGTAGGTTTGTTCGGGTTACAAGCAATTATTATGCGTTCAAATGGAGTGCCAGTAAGCGCAGATCCGAATGGTATATTTGGCTTACTTCGAGGCATTCATATTGGCATTTTCGTAAAAGCCTTTGAGCAGTGAAGAAATGACCCACACATACAAATAAGTAATTAGACCAATAATATAATAAAAAGCCTTAATATTTTGACTTTGATGATGCTCAATTAGGGTTTTCAATATCATAAAACAGGAAAACAGGAGTCTAGGGAGCAGAGATCTCTTTCTAAAATGGGGTGTCATTGATTTAAAAATTCAAATGGAAAGTATTTTCTTCAGCGCAACTGTACATGCCGCTACAAACACAAATATGCATACATACATATAATATTTTATATGTTTAATTAAACTAAGCTGCCGCATCCTTATTTGTTAATACCAACACAGCATCAACATAAAATCGCCCAAAGATTTTTGTAGCAGCGGCGGCGGTGGCTGGGCAGCTTTAGCGGTTGCACTAACCGGTGACGGTACGATCGACTGTCTGGCTATCCGGTTCGCTAACTAGTTATCGTTTGACTTGTTTACGGCGGTATTTATGCCCTACGTGTTTATTACTTAATAACTCGTCGGGCACTTCAACGCATTTCCACTAAAAACTTTTAAAATTTATTTGCTCTTTTTCATAGTTATTTACACAAAAATATTTTTAATGTCTTTGCGTCTTGCTTTGGTGCTGCTGTTGTCGTTTATGATAAATGCGGATTTGTCATTTGATGAGCTTCGGTTTTAATCAAATCAATAGTTCGCTAACAACATGCAAACATACTTATATAAATGCATTGTTTTTTTTATTTTTAAATCGCTGATATTTAATTACTTTATTGTTTTGCTTTCAAATTTTATTTTTTTTTTACACATGTATGGGTGTGCGTATATTTTGATTGGCATTTGACTGCTTGAGCCCATTGTACACTATACAGTGGGCGAGTTGGCGAGTTCGCCTTTTTGGCCCCGCCGACGATCGATCAATTACACTGCGGCCAACTTTCTCATAACACTTTTGGTCGCATATTTATTGGATATACAGATGGGTGTACGTGTATGTGTCCGGTGTGTGGCGTGCAGATATTTACATGCTTGCCACCTTACATCACGCAATATCCACTGGGCGTGTGCATTTTTATTTGTTATTTATTTAAATTATATGTATGTGTAAGGCTTGTGTACATATTTAATTATACCCTTTTTTTTGTTTGTGTTTATCTTTTATAAATTTTTGGTTGTAAGTTGTTACATCACGATCGCCCTCCATGCAACGCCCCTACGTGTACTACCTTAAATACATATGGATGGATGTATGTGTACATATTTACATACAGTGAATTTCCATTCATTCAAGAAATGTAACCGAGAAAGATGTGTTTGTTTACCTTTCGTGGTGTAATCTGTAAGTTTTCTGTTGCTCCCGCTTTAGTTTTATTCATTTTTGACACTCTCGTGCATACGTACATATTTGTTTATGTTAATGCGAGCCAATTATCTTTGCACCTGATCACATACTTGTACAACTAGTGCTTGTGTCAAAGGAGATTATTGATTATACTTACTCGTATGTTGAATGCGATTCACGCTCACTTAGCGGGTTTTGATTAGTCTGTATCATTAATGGGACACATATTTCCCTTTCTCTTCCTATACCTCTCTTACCAACTCTTTCTCTCTCTCTCTCTCTCTTGATCTTGTTAACCAAATTAAATGGAATAATTTCTTGTAGCTTCTAAATCGCAATATTCTAATGCAATGAAGGACATCAATGTAATTCTCTTCTTTGCTACAACTTCTGACGTCGCAGTTCGACTTTTTCTAACATTACCTACACCAGATTCGAGTTCTGCTACACCGCACCAGGTATCGGACGAAAGTATATAAAGTGTGGTGTCGGACGGAGGGTTAAAAACGACCAGCAGAAGAGTTCAACCATTCACTAACTAAATTACTAGGATAACGAACAGTGTGAGCAGCGGATACTCTCTCGATACTCGTTTGTTACTCAAATGCTCAAGTGTATGTTTGAAAATTTGCAGTTTTGCAATTTTTTCTGCAAAGATTTCTTTAGTATTTATTTAGTTTTACATTGTGTATAAATAAATTTAAAATTATAGAAAAAGGTTCTGAGAAAAAAGTCAAATTTTTGGTTCAAAATTCTCGAGAATGCTTGAAAAAGCTCGAAGTGTACGAGTTTGTGCTCGAAAACTTTCGTGCAATAAATAATGAGCAAGTCTGGGAATAATCGTTGCTCAAATGCTCGAGCTGTTGGGAAATTTTCGAACAAAATCTTGAGCTCTATCAAGTTGTCAAATTTTGATGGGACTTTTATTTTCTTACTTTCTTTCTCTTATTTTATTTATTCCATTAATTAAAGATCACTAATAACAGCGACAGGTAAAACGTTGATCTTCAAAACACTGGCAGATCTCTCTTCTTTGAAAGCGTGTTCGGCTTGCTTGTCAAGGTAAAACATTTGCTAGAGGCTTCGGTTGACTTTCCAATTTCAACAGGTATTTTCGCCGCATTTTGGTCATCACTCTTTGTATTTTTTGGATACTCGTTACGCAAACAGAGCCTCATAATTGTATTCCATACATCCTTATTGCCTTATCTGCAGTATTATAGCAGAAATATAGCTCTTTCCGATCAATCTGGATGCCAAGGTATTTAACTTCGTTTGCTTGAGAGATCATTAAGTTGTTTAGTTTCAGTGTTGGATATATTTCTGACTTTAGAGTGGGATGCGAGTTCTATGTGATTTTCTAGTATGTTATAGTGCGTCTGCGGTAAATAAGTCTTACGGTCTCATTGGTCTCTGCCTTGAGGAACATCAGCCATAATATACTACTCTGAGATAAATTCCTCTAAACCGCCTGTTATTTAGGTATGATAATTTGCGACTTTTAGCGACGCAATCAGTAAATATCCAAGCATTAAAGAGCTTAGACAAGAATTTGTGGTGTTATGTGGTCGTAAACAGGACACATTTTTGTATTTAAGATATTTGTTATGACGCTTAACTCAGGTAATGTCCTGCTAACACCCTAGAGACGTAAGATGTGATCGTTGAATTGTATTCATTCATTGCATTGGTTGGAATACTTCGCTAAAGTGATTTGCAAAACAATTTGCATTTCTTCTTCAGAATGGATCGAAATAACGTATCTCTGTCTGAGTGGTCTTTCCATTTCCACTGGTGGCTCAAAGTTCTTCTCTACCTTCCATAGTAGTATTCTTCGGGAAGAATTCGGCGTCAAAGTAGAGTTAAATCTCTTCACCTTTCAGAGCGCTCCTCAGTTTTATTTAAGATGGTTGGCGGAATAGTGCATTGCCATTCTCGTCGCAATTTTCGTTTCGTTTTCAGTTTACAATTTGTGTGTTGGTGGCTCGTTTTGTACTTTGTAGAAATATTAAAAATTAAAATGTGAATCATACCTTTGTGCATTAATAAATACATATATATATATATATATATATATAAATAATAAAAAAAAATGATTCAACTAATTTTTTCCGCTATAAAAATATGTCAATCTCCCGCATTTGAAAAATTACATACGAAAAAGTGCTTAAACTATTTTTATTACATTACAACACAGTTCTTATTGTGGACATTTCCAATGAATTTCAAAGACAGCAGCTGTAAGATTTGCTGTGAATTTTCAAATGCTCTGCCTCCACTACTCACTCCTGTGTATAATATATATGTATATATATATATGTATAATTGCGAATTTCTAGTTTTTAATTTCCTTTTTATCGTTTGCTTGCAGATTTTATTCCGTTCTGGTGTTTTGAGTGAATTGGAAGCGAAACGTGATGAGCTCTTGTCGGATCGCATCATACAATTGCAGGCATATTGCCGCGGCTATTTGGCACGTAAACAGGTGGCGCGCCGACGCGTACAGGTGGGTGTGTTATTTGCTATTGTAAAAATGTAAATTGCCGCAATCTACATATGTACATATGTATGTGTTCATATGTTATAATAAATTCTTTTTACACCATTTTATGCAATATTTCTAATTTTATTCAAACAAGACAATAATATTTTTAATTAATTCCTCAAAAGTTAGAAAAAAATCTTGTGAAATTAATAATAAAAATTAAAATATCTTTTCAAAAATATATAATGAAAAATTTGGTTAATTAATAGTGATTTGAAAACGGAAAAAATTACGGACTGCTTGCTTGGCAAATACTTTAAGAATGCTTTCGTTTTTGTAAATGGGGGTATAAAAAAATATTAAAAAAAATTTTTGTCAAACCAATTAAATACAAAATATAGCCGAAAAGAAATATTTTGCGATTTTTTTTAAAAACTATATTTATTAAATTACATATACTTATAATAAAGAAATATTTATTAATGTTTTCGAAATATAAGGTTTTAATTGTAATAATTTTTCTTTTAAAATACGGTTTACAAAAATTAAATTTAATATGAACAGTTGTCTTAAAGAAAACAATAATAAAATCTATCAAGTGGTAGTGAAGATTCTCAATTGTCAACAAAAATCGCTTTCAGAAATACTCAGTCCTCAATTGCTTTTGTATGCCTTTCATTTACATGGAATAGTACAAGTACATGTAAAATCCTGAAAAATCCCTTTTTTTATTAAAAAGTTTGAATCCTGACAATATATGTGAAGCCCTGCGCCAATCAGATGACCACCTCAAGATCTTTTGCAAACTTTTTCGACGTACTTTTCGAATATTTTTTGGCACATATTGGACAGTATCTCCGCCATCACTTGAAAAATGTTAGCTTTCAAGTGCTCAAGAGTTAAAGATTTATACGCATAAATACGGTCTTGTCCGAAGTCCCACAAAAAAGTCCAATAAATACATATTCGCTAGTTTTATAAGGCATGTGGTATAATCTTGTTTAAATCCATCAATAAAAGGGTATTCAAGCGTGAGATCTGTTATTCTGTACACGTATAAGCAAACGGATATTGTCACCGTAAAATGATCGAAATCAGAAGATTGTATCGTATTGTATACATAGATGGGAGCTACAACCGATTTGTTGGTATATGGAAACTTATATTTAATCTTAAAATTACGGCCCATAATTCCATATTCTGCTATTTAATTTTTTATTTTATTAATTTTTAATTTATATATTTTCAATTAAAATCAATATAAATTAAGTTCTTTGCTTTATTACTCAAAATTTCAAAAAAATTTTGATCTCGAAATTCCGTGCAGTGAAGTTTCATTATAATTCAGCACCATTTTGTTTGCTTCAATCAAATTATCATTTAATAGAAATAAAAAATTTAATCACATTTTTGTTTTAAAGTGTACTATTTATTAATTTAAAGCATTTAAATTTGATTTTTAAATATTTTAACAACATTTTTTTTTTAAATAAATGTTACAAAATAATAATTTTAACTAATGCCTTATAATAAATACTAACAATTTGGTTTGAAGATAAGGCAAGTAAAATAAAAAAAATTATAAAAGTTTTAAAATTACTATTTAAAACTAATTTTGAATAATTAATAAAGAAATAAAGTTAAAAAATTATTTTATTATTATTAATAATTTTATTTTAAATTTTTTAATTCAATTATAACCTTTTTTTGATGCCTTATGGGTATATTATTTTCTTATTACTTTTGCTGTTGTTGCAATTTGATTAAAATGCAGTACCCATTGCACGTTATTGCTATTGATTTGCTGGCCATAGGCATGTCTGTATGCCAGTTATTTGCAAAAAAAAAAGCGCCAAACAAAAATAAACAGACTGACAGATATTGCTGTGCATATGTATATTTACATACATACGAGTATGTGCATATGTACATATTGCATTAAGCAGCAAGTGTTTGAAAATAAAGGGAACACTAACTCAAACTAGATTTGTACATATATAAATATATATATAAATACATATATAAATACATAAATATGTACATACATATGTGTATGTACCTGAAACCAATGTTAAGTTTCTGTCAATTTTAATGTTCATGTTGCAGACACATCTTCATAAATCTAACAATTTATGAGTATGCGTGTAAAGTATTGTGCATACAAATACAGGAAATATATTATTTTCCTTTCAAGGAAATTTTCATTGTCATTTTTTCATCGTTTAATAAACACATACTTTTAGTACGTATAAGCGAAGTGATGATTATCATATTTTCAAGATAGATAATTTTTTTTTTTGTTTGCCATTTTCGCCACTCATCAAATACATGCGCAGAATGTCTGCAATTTTAACATTATCATAATATTTGCATTATTATTGAGTAAATAAATTTTTACATTTCTTTATTTCATTTCTTTTTGCAATATCCATGCTGACGATTAACAGGAATTGGCCGTACGTTGCATTCAACGTAATGTCAAAGCATTTCTGGCGGTTCGTGATTGGCCTTGGTGGCGCCTCTTGGTGCGTGTAACGCCTCTGCTGAATGTTCATCGCACCGAGGAGCAACTGAAGTTGGCGAATGAGGAATTGTCAATGTTGCGTGCCAAGTTGGAGAAAATCGAAAACGATCGTAACGAATTGAAGACTGAAAATCAAAAATTGGAAGCGAAGGTAAGTCTTTTCTACACTTCGTAGTAATGACAAATTTATTTTTATTTTTTTTATTTTACTTTTTAATTTTTTATTTTTTATTAGTACTTCTATTTTATTATTATTTCTTATTGGTTTTGCATTAGATCGCTAAGAGGGTTAATAAAATGGAAGTATTTTTATGTTACAATTTGTTAAGTGGCAAAGGCTCAACAATTTTCCTGCACTCAGTCGTGATTCTCACGATCAATATTAAATGATAATAATAAGCGAAAAAAGAACTAATTTATATACGCGTATGTTTGATATGCATTTTATTTATGCACGTACAGATCACATTATATTAGCCTAAAAGCAGACTACATTTTCCTTTATTTTTGTATGAAGATTGATGAATGAAGAAGATTACAATAATAATATTATATGTCTATTATGTATTATTTGGCCGTGATTTCGTCCGTATGGAAGCTGTTGTAGTGCTTATAAAATATAACAGTCTTTATAACATGCAATGGCCTTCCGGGTACAGAATGACTGGCTAAGTCTGTCAGTTTTTGAGGCATTTCAACCAAATAGATCATTTGTCGGCACTGGTCAGATCTGACCATTATAACATACCGATTTTTTCATAGAAAGTAATCTATTATTTTTTGCATTAAATATAGGGTCTTATATACCATAGATTTATGCCAAATATGCACCGTTTTGCTCGATAACTTTTAGCCATTTTAAAGGTAATATCATTATGCCTCTCTCATGAGAGCCATAACCTCGGCACAATCTATTTTCACAGGTCCGGACTGTAGAGTGAATACATCTTATGGATGTTACGGTTCTATGCATCTGCTCTAGTCTACCGTGCCTTTCTCTAGAGACATGGCATGGTGCTCGGTTTCAATTCAAAAATCGTTTGCATTGCTTTTTTGGAGAATATCGTAGCTAAGCTAATTTATTAAATAAAAACAATTTTCTAGCTAAAAATGTACACCAAATTCAATACATATTTCGGTTTTAAAGATAAAAAAAAAACTTCTGCAGATACTCATATACATAATTGGTTCATGGTTATTCGCACACATTTATTTTCGCAGAAGACCTTAAAATTTATAACAATGAAAAAATTCAAATTTGACATGGAATTCTCAAAACAATAATTTTCAATGTATATTTGTTTTTAATTATTTGATTTATTGCGTTATTTTGCTAAAAAAAAAAATTACGGCGAAAATAATATATATCTACATATATATACATATATATATATATATTATATATAAGTATATATGTACATATGTAAATAGAAAGTAGGAGCAATTAAAAATAATATTATTCAAATTCAGTTTAATAAATGTATGTATGTATGTATAATTAATAAAAATTTTAGTTAAAAGTAGTGACACAAAAACCGCATAAATATAAATAACTGTTTGTGCGAATATTAAATTATGTAAACAAAATTAATGTTGATTTAAAAAAAATTGTGCTCGAGCGTGAAAATGTGAAGCGTGCCAAATAAAGATTGGTCGAAAAGAAAGAAAAATGAAATTTCATACAAACATTGCAATGAGAAAAACAACATATTTTCAGTTTAATAAATGTGCATTATTTAAATAAATATTCTTATTATATATATTTGTTTAATTTTTTTTATAAATGGCAAAAATATTTATAAAATAACAATAACAAGCAAAAAATATATATTTAAATATATATTACTTATTTAAATTATTTCTGTGCGCATACATATAATGAATGCATCTTACATTTTTCATCCGATAATTTGTTTACTTGTACATACATACATATCCACATAATTACAAATTTTATTTTTAAACATATTTTATTTATTTTGATTAGCCGCCAAAGAAAAGTGCGAACAATGCGGCCTAAAGTGAAAGGCGCGAAAAAGAATTTGCAATGGCAGCAACAACACACATTTCGAAAAAAATAAAATTATTTGATTTTATACGTAATTTCACTGTCAGATAGGAATTTACAAAAAAAAAAAAAAAAAAACAAAGCAATAAACAATATTTTTCACAAAATGAAATAAAAACATCAACAAAATCATAGGCAGGAATGCAACACTTGATTACACATGTGAATACGTGCATACATACGTACATACATATGTACATACATATGTGCGTTATGGCAATTTAGGAGTGGAAAGCATTTTTGTTTAAATCTTGCACAAAAATTTGCAAAAAGCAGTGCAATAAATTTCCCTTGCGCGTGGATTAAATTGATTATTATATGTTTTAAGTGAATATGACATATTCGAAAAAGTATGTATGTATTACTTCAAAATACCAAATTTCACGTCACTACATACCCGTCGTTTTGGTGGATTTTTCACTCAAACCTTAAATCTCAAAAAAATCGGCTATAAGATGTAATCGATTTCAAGTAGAATATCAAATTTGATGCAACAGAAGGGAAAATGTGTTTAATTAGGACAACGCCACGCCAGACACATGGGTAGTGACTCAGAAGAAGGTTCGAGCTCTTGGTTGGAAGGTTCTTTTGCATCCTCCTTATAGTCCGGAGCCAAGCCCTAAATTATTAGCATCTGTTTATGTCTATGGCGAATGATTTGGCTGGTAAAAACTTGGCCCCAATAGAAGCCTTCGAAAATGTTAAAAAGTTATCTAGCAAATCGATGCATATTTGACATAAATCTGATAATTCTAACTATGGCAAATAAAGTCTTGAATTTAATTCAAAGAAAGTAGATTACTTTTTATCATCAATATGAACAAATCGATTGTATGGGGTCCGATGTGAGAGGTTCCAAAAAACGATTGTTTGATATAATAGTGCATCTGCGTATGACGTTTGGTTGAGATATCTATATAAACAGACAAATTGGCGGACATGACATGGCCAAATCAACTGAACTCTTCTGATCATATCGGAATAAATTTCGATGGATCTATTTCTTCTCTTTCTTACTTACTTACATACGGAGCATATCCGGAAAGTAAATGTGTTGAGGCTATCACGTCGTGAGGCTTATTTCGTCGCTTTGCCAGCACTTTAGTGTAGCGTAGACTTCTACTCTTTGAAACGATACCGGCTCGAGGTCAGTCCTTTGGGAACTGCCTACAAAGATAACACGATACGAAACTCTTTATCTCGTGAGAACGCTCTAAAAATCTACATTTTTTATAACATTTTGACTTTTCGATTAAAAAGTTTCCATTCTGGATTTTCGGTGAATTTTTTGAACTTTTTTTGTGCCAACAAAATACTGCGTAAATGAATATTTTTGAACATTTACCGCTATATTTCACTTCAACAAATTCGATTAATACTTTTTCTGAATTTTAAAATGCAAGTTTCCGGCGCTTAATGCATATTTATTTTATTGATTAAGTGGTACTGAGGCTTCTTATCGATCAGCTCTTCAAAGTTCCTTTATTTGGCTTTGTTACCAGCTCAGAAAAAAAATTGGAGAAATGCATTTATCTACAATTTGTGAGAGTTTCGTATCATGCTGTCGACGAGACAACACGTTGCGTGAACAATGTCAATCCAGTCTTACGCCAATGGCGGCATCGGACTAGATGTGGTGATAAAACTATGAATCGTGCTTTGTCACAATGTTTGAGTACACATGGCCAACGGCTGGAATCTCTCTTTACCTTCCTTAAGCTACAAATGGGTGACAAAAGGTTTTCAAACGAGAAAGAGGTGAAGAATTGGACTTAGGGGTTGGCGGAAATCTACTAGAGGAAGGCAACAAGGCTTCACCATCACTATAGGCCCCTCCATTAAGATGCACAGTTTAAATCGAAGAAGAAGGAGCTCGATACGGTGGTTACAATAAGCCCAATAATATATTGCGGTATACTCGTGCATGCACATATATAGATCTACGTAAAAATTGAACAAAAGCCAAATAATCAAAAGTAAATTTCCGCTGACGAAAGCAAAATCACAATGCAACTTACAATATTTACGTGCAACACAGGAAAATAAAACATCAAATGATTAACGGCAAAAGTAAATTACTCGATTGCTGAAAAGTAAATTCACGCCACACATTCGTACGATGCTCTATCGGTCAGCATTAGAAAGGCCAACTAAAAATACAATGTAAAAATTCATGAAAAATACCACAGTCGCAGCACATATTTCAAATACATTTCTATTAAAGAAGAGCCAAATAGAGGAGAAGAAAGTCCTCTTTTTTTTTTTTTTTTTTTTTTTGGATTCTATCGAATGAGTCAAACTGATCGGATATTGATGCAATGCAAATTCACCATATTCAGGCTACTTGTTGGAAGAATATCTGCTAATGGTTTGGTAGTGTCGGCAAATAAATTAAAAATATTGTATGTTTTTGTAATAAAATGGCAAGAGTTTAAAAAAAATAAAATTAGTTGGCTGACGTAAAAGTTAATTATAGTTGAAGAAATGTAAATTTAGAAAGAAAAAACAAATGCCTATAAGAGTACATAAATATTTGACTTGCGTAAATGTATGTAAGTATATATAATAAGTATATGATTCGTCGTTGGAACTCCTTATAAAAATCCTCGATTAATTTTAGATTATAAATGTGACATTAGTTTTCCCATATAATTGGTCCAGTAAAAAGTAATACATTATTTTTGCATTAAAATTAAGGCTTTATTTGCCTTAGTTAGAATTATCCGTTATATGTGAAATATGCAGAGTTTTGATAGATAACCTTTTTGACGGTAATTTTTTGAAGGTAACTTCGCTAAGCCTCTCTCATAGAAACTCTAATCCCTATTGGCCAAGAAATTGGGATTCTCTTAAGGGCACTTCTTCACTAGCCAAGCCAAACCATTCATCATAGACAGGAAAATATGTAAATCACTGGTGCGAGTTCCGGACTCTTAGGTGGATGCTTAAAGACCTAGCAAATAAGCTACTGCTGCTTTTTGGTGTTGTGCTGATGAAAAAATTCCCCTCCTGTTGATGAAAGCTGGGCGAAAAGGAAGGTATTGCCTTCGATTCCCTCAGACTATCCCATTGCTCATAGTTAT